TAGGGTCACAGAGAAGCGCCGGGCTGACCCCCAAAAGGCTAAGCTGGTGAATTTGTTTCTCCCATTCTTCTTAGAAGTCTGTATATGTGGTAGGATACCAGTACTTGCCCTTTGAATCTAAAGCACCCTCCTGCCCTCAAAATGTGGCATCATTTGTTTGCTCCAAGACTGGCCTCCAGTGACCAGGGTCAAGTGCCAAGGCAATAAGGTTTGGCTCATTATTTTTTTTTCCAGTCGTATTTTATTTGCCAGAATCTGCCCATGGATTATGAAGTCTCACAATCACTGAACCTAGTTTGCCCAGTTTATTACCTCCCGCAGTTGCTTTGATCAAATCCATCTATATTTAGAATGTACTGTAGATTGTAAGAATGTAATATATATTTATAAACATGACAACTGTGAATAAAATTTGCATTTCAGTGGCTTCATTTTTTCCCTACTCTGAGCTCCGCTCTCTCTCTCTCTCTCTCTCTCTCTCTCTCTCCACTGTCAGAACGTTTACCCCGAAAGAGACTGGCAGCTGTACAAAGAATTGTCCTTTGATGAAATGAAAATGCAGGTTTAAGGATCTTGGCACAATCTAATTACAACCTCTTATATCATGTAATGTGGTGCTTTGTGTTGCAGGAAAAGAAATACTAATGTTGACATCTTACGATGAAGTGCACTTGCACCAAGTTGCCCTTTCAAGAGCTGAAGCGATTTGCAAATAAATCACATGTGTATTTCTACTCCAAAAGCTTACTGTGTGAGGTGGGAATGATGTGTGGTTTTGATGTGGCCAGAAAGACACCTACAGCTTCTGAATCACGTTTCAGTTTATGGACACTCCTTCTAAGGCCACTTGGAATAGTATACCTAGGGTTGGAGCAAATGTACCATGAAGATGAGTAGAATAATACTATAGTCATTTCTGGAAGCCTAGATCATTATGGTTAGCAACTCTATACAGGTCAGCTGGAAGAGATTTCTCAGTGTGCAATAGATGAAGGTGCAATTGGTGCAAATCGGTGCAATAGATGAAGGTCTGTATTATTGAAGCCTACAAATGGACTGACTGTCATGGTTCAGGCCTCCCTTTGCTAGAGATGATTTTGCCCCTGGAGATAACCATATCCTTTAGGTTTCCTGATCTGTTCTATGCACAACTTTCAGAAACTCTGCAGAAGCTTCCCCACTTACAGATGCTGTCGTAGGATTGGAGGACCATGGCAAACTGAGTTAACCCCACACGGTCATCATGGACAGCTTTAAGCCTATTCATCGGGAAACACTTGAGCAAAATGTAGTGTCTTGTAGTCATTTTACAAGAAGCTCCCCTGGGCAAGGACTTCCCACCCAGAAGCAGGATGGATTTATTTGAAGCAGGATGGATCCATTTTCACTTGCACGCTTGTGGTCATTAATGGTTTGATTACAAGTCCCATGGTTAAATGCAACGTGCTGCTCGGGACCCAAGACTTCACTAGAGCAGGAGTCTGTCTGTCTTTCTGCATGGGTGGGGAGGGGAGCATGTTAGCATCGGACTGGTGGAGCCTCTTGCATTAAGTGCAGTCAGAGTTAGGATAAATGACTCTTTGACTTGGCGCTGAACGCAGAGCATTCGTGTGGAACGACGTCCTGAGCCAGTCACTGTCAAACATAAATCTCTGTCATGTGGAATAAGAAATGACACTCGAGACAGGAGGGTGTATATTTAAGCTGGACAAGTGAATTTGTGACACAGAGCAGAGCTCCTTCTACTCGTGACTGGGGTGATGGTTGGGGCAGTTTGCAAGGCTTCCTTACATTTGTAGGTCCCCTCAGTGCTTAGGGCGTTAAGGAGTTCCCTCTTTGTCGTCTCTGCCAGTGCAAATAAGAAAGACCTGCCGTGACCTTTTTTACCTCCACACTACATCACTCTGCTCAAACAGATGTAACCAAGGGAGTACCCATACCAGACACACTTCCGCTCTTGTGCCATCGGCATGCCTGGCATGGGTGGAGCGGTGGGGGCATAGCTTGATACGCTGCATAGGCAGTGGTGTAGTAGCATTAATCCCATATTTTGCTCCCATTGTACTCTTCAGCTTAAGTGCCCATGTCCAATATAGTGCTCAGAGTTGTCTGTGCTAGGGTAAGGGATGTCAGGCCACAGGCTGAACAGGCATGCCCTTCACATTCTCCTGCACGAGCACTGAGTGGTTGGTCTTCCTCTGAAACACTAGGCCTGGACCATAGCTGGAAGCAGCATATCACACTTGATGTACCAGCAAACTGATGTGGTAAATCCACAGTCCCTTGTTAGCTACATCTGGGGAACAGGAAAAACTAATAGCAGGCTTCACTAGTAGAGCAAAGCACAAAAACTTTGTTCTAGGCTGGAACAGTAGCTGCCAGCTATAATGCTAAGAGTACTGTCATGCAGATTTATGGCTCTTTGCTTGCTCAGAGATCCCTGCTGCCTCTGACAGCTGTAGCAAGATATTATCCGCAAGGCAGTAATATGCATAATACTTTTTAAAGCACTCTTCTTCTAGAGATTGCCATATTATAGATAGGAACAAAGGTTAAGGAACTTGCCCAAGGGTACGTAGCAAATCAACTGAAGAGCCAAAAATAGCATTCGAGAGCCTGAAGTCTGATGTACCTCATCATCGGTAGCCTGGTGTCTGGTGAACTGTAAGGTTGAGACCCTGTAACACGGAGTAGTTCAATGCATGGGGCTTGGAGCTGTGATGTCATACAGTGAGGAAGTCATGAGCCCGATTTCAATTTATATTAAGGTTCTTCTGCATAATCCTCACTGTGCAAAGCAGCACTTAAGGCAGGGGATACCTGTAACTTATGCACACTGAAAAGTACCATTATGTGAAGGGACCTTGGAGCAGACACCTGTTTTGTCCTGTGCTTGTACAACACCCAGCAGAAAGTGATTCTGGCCTGTGATGGGCACTCAGTGGTTAGCACAATACAAACCCAAATAGCAGAAATGCGCATCAAGACAGAGCAGCCTCCTGACAGAGAGCGCTGAAGTCTTGGGACGGTCTGTGCCTGCCATAAGGTTGTTGGTCACAGCTACAGTTTCACCGACTCCTTCCTCCCTGCGCGCTTAAGCTGCTCTCCCAGGATGTGCGAGTTGTACGTTCCTTTGGCATTGCACTCTGCATTAGCAAAGAAGGATGCAGCAGGAGCCTGGAGGAGGGAGCGGAGATTATTTATCATTTTTGCTTTCCTAATTATCATAACTGTTAATTAATTATGCTACTTGGCTCTTCAGTCTCCACAGTCGTCTCCACACATCCTCCCAGCATCACCCTTAACCACAGAGGCAGCAACATGCCGCTTTGGCAGAAGCATCTGCTCAAATGGAGCTTATCCAGAGAGTGTCTCTTTTTAAATAGCTGAAGAGAGTAGCAAATAGCTCTATTCTCTGAAAGAGGTTTGGAGCCGGCCTGCTGGTGACTGCAGCTCAGCATCACCCCTGCAGCCTGGCTGAAGTTCAGGAGCATCTGGTACCCAAGACAGAGGCACTGGTGCTGTGGTCGGAGGTGAGATTCATTGCTTTCCAGGCCAAGGTAAAAACAGCTTACTGCATCAGCACCTTCTGGTGGCCAGTGCACACATCAGCACTTCCCAGAGTTTAGCTGTAGGCTGATATAAAAGAAACACCACAATTTAGACAAAATGCACTTATTATTGTGGTATTGAAGGCATAGCTGGCAGCTCGTTAGGGACTTGAGAGATTCACCTAAGTTGTGTGTTTATTTAGATGTTTATTTAAAATAAAAATGAGATCTTCAAATCATAATACTTGCAATTATATCTCTCCTGATCACCAGGTAAAAGAAAACCCTCATGGGTTTTGCTTCAGCTGGGTGCATCTACACGAGAGGTCTGTGGAGCAGACTAATTAGCAGTAAATGTCATGCATCTTCATGTCCGCTCCTATTAGGCTGGAGTAAACTAATTCACTCTGCAGCGGGATAGTACTTGTAAATCGGTCAGGATATGAGTACTATCCTGCTGCGGGGCTTTTTACTCTGCAGCAGCACACATGTAGATGCCGACCCAGTTGGCTGGGGTATGGGAATGCATCAGTACAGGGGCTGCATGCTGGCTAGGCCCATGCTGACGCACGCTTGTGCCCCAACCAGCCCCCACACAGCACATTGAGCTGGGAGGGACTAGCCCTGGGATGGCAGGGTGATCCCCAGAGCCCTCTGCCAGCTGGAGCTACTCCAACCTGACTCAACGTGCTGTGGTCGCAGATGTTGGCACTGGATTTATGACCCAGATACCTTGTTCTGGGCAGACCCAAAACTCTCAGACCAACCACCCCCTTTCCATTCGATAATAGGCAGATTTTATCGATACACAATGATGGCAGATAAAAATAATGCAAACAATCCTATATTTACCAGTCCTAGAGCTACACAGAGTCAAGGTAAGTCTGGCCAGTACACAAGCTTCACTCTGATATTTTCTCTTGAATGTTAGATATCAGCAGCTTGGAGGTTGGAGGCCAAGGCCCACCTCCCCCCACCCCAGTGGGGTGGATGAGACAGGCTGGTGGTGTGCCCTCTGTCTATGGCGGCCTCAAGTTCCCCTCTCAGGGACCCTTTGCTGCTCTGAAATACCTTCTTTTGTATCTTTTTCCCTTTCTGATTCTTCATCTCTGGGCATCGCTGATTGGTCTCTCTGTGGTCGTCATACTGTGCATATTCTGTCCTGTCAGCATATTCCCTTGTTTCACAAACCCATCACATGCACACATCCTAATCTTGGCTTTTTCCGGGTCTCCTAATTTGGTCTGTTCCCCAAAACTGGAAATCCCAAGGGCTCTGCAATTGGGCACTGTAACCTGGTGCCACCTTATCTCATGTTATAGAACAGTATGGAACATGACTTCAATTTCCCAGCCTGTGTGTCTGTTTGCTGCTTGCCTGTGTCGGA